AGTGTACAAAGAAATAACAGAGTTCATTGTAGGGACACGATTGTTTTGTAAGCATCTGGTTGTGAATCAATATCAAATAGTCATGATGCAAATGTTCACGACAAAGTGAGCTTATTCCGTCCCACCGAGGTCAAGGAGGGACATATTCGTGATCACGGTTGATCAGGCTCCACACATATCCAGCTACGGGTATGTTTTCCCACACTACTATACATTCCTGTTGATGTTAATAGTTTTTGGTGTATTATGAGTACATATCAAATGTACGTGACCCATGAGATTTAGTCAAGCTGAGGTTTACACGGGTTGTAGAATACATTGATAAAGAAAGACCCGGCAGTTAAATACAAAGGACATTTATGTCGCTATACATGTGATGTGTGTGTGTCTGAATAGGGGTGGAGGGGTAGTCTAGTGGTTAAAGTGTTCGCTCATCGCTCATCACGCCGGAGACCAAGGTTTGATTCCCCACATGGGTACAACGTGTGAAGCTCATTCTGGTGTCATTTGCCATTTTACAGCTGAAATGTTGCTAACATCAGCGGCGTAAAACTATCACACTCACATGTTTGAATATGTGGTCATATGTCCGATACTAGAACTACTATCCAATTACATTGAAAGTGATCTGCTGACACCTAATCTTCAAATATTGTCCGAATAACCATATGGACAAGGCGTTTTGAAATCACGAGCAACACTCAAAAGTAATTGGGGAGGGGGAGTTTTAATGCTTTTAGAGCATTGACATCAATCCATCATGTGAGCAAAATGTTCATTTTAGCAATGACGATGTATATATCGATGAAGTCCATGCCCTTGTTCAGCACCGTGTGTCACTTGACTCTACTGTTAATAGATTTGGAAGCAGGATTTGTGTTATGTTGTCTCCGAACACTATTGAATGGGCGGATTGAGGGCGATAAATGTGGCGGGTTTACATATGTAGGAGATAGTAGTTTTAGAGTAGTTGATTTCTTTTTGCACCTATTGGTCTATTTGCCGTTATAGAAAATTAATGTTAAATGTTGATGACCATTAGATCCGGACCATTTCCCCAAGGAGATAGTTTGCGTGTTTATTTCCAATAGCCATGCTAAGCTTACTGTAGACAGGGATGATCATGACAGATTAATTTGTATGGGATGAATCGGAGGAAAACATTTCACTTCAGCATTGAGACAGCAGATATTGCACATCCATCACAATTCTTCATTTACAAAAATGGACCATCTCACGAAGAGGGGATTACAGATTTAGTTCATTGTGCCCTGTTTATGGCCGCAAGAGAGAAATGTTGTTGTGTTTCAAAGGTAAACGTATGTATGTTGCAGATGAAATACACACCTTGGCATATTAACCTGGCGGTCAGAGCAAAGACAGTTCTTTTACAAATGCACCCTGTCATTTCTAAGCCTGGTTTTAAAAAAGTATTAGTTTAAATCAGTTTAAATGATTTGATTCCAACGCACAACCTATTCTACTTTGTAAAGAGCATTATACAATAGAAAAAGTTCATTTGCTTTCATGTGCAAATGACCCGTGAAGATCCGGGTTAGAATTGATCTTCAGTACGGCACATGTCTGGCGAAAGGTGAGGTGAGGTGAAATTGGGTTTAACGTCGTGCTTGAGAATATTTCGCCCATATGAAGACGTGCATGCGTGTGTATGTGTATGTGTGGCTGCATTCTGTCGAAAGAGGAGACGAAGGGGATCGGGTGGTCAGGCTCACTGACTTGGTTGACACATGTCATCGGTTCCCAATTGCGTAGATCGATTCTCATGCTGTTGATCACTGGATAGTCTGGTCCAGACTCGACTATTTACAAACCGGTGCCATTCAGCTGGAATATTGCTGTGTGTGGCGTAAAAGTAAATTCACTCACTCACTCATGTGCACATGTGTTCCCTGTAAAAATTGCTTGGGATTATGATGAATGCATGAGATTCACACTCTACATTGTATCCTACTCCCATTGCTTAGAATATTGGTGTAAATGATTAATATGGCTGAACATCATATGCATTTGCTTACAAAAGCCTACATCTCGATCATCTTGAACACGCACGTTACTGTTAAGAAATGGTTGGAGCTTTATTGTGTTAAGCAAGTTGGCAATTTAATAATTTTGTTAAAGGTCACATGCAACGTAAAACACAACTTTGCAGATTCTGATACCTTTCGGTATGGACATACCGAAGCAAATCGTCAAAAATGCAAATTCAACTTATAAAGTTGAAAAATAACGCGATGAAAAAAACCGCGCGAAATCGGAGTTCAAACGTTTCACTAATTTTCCCCAGACTTTTCTGGGGAAAACGGGTTTCAACAGCTAGGCTGCGCTCATAGCACATGCGCAAGTAAATAGGTTCGCGCAGCTTGGCAGCGGGTTGTCGGGTGAATACTCGGTGAAGGCTTTGGTGTGAGCTATTTTTCTAATGTTTTGTTGATGTCTCACAGGCGCGAGCTTTTATATGTTATGACAGTAAATTAACTGTTTATATAATTTCATTTGTCTATTTCACCACACGTTCTTCTTACCGAGACACTTTCTCAGTTCGATACTTAAAAGCAATGTCATTATTTAGCGTTGACACAATTTCTAACTGTGATATAGATATGTCGTTGTCACAGACAAAACTCAATGTCTTGTTTTATTGACACCTGTGTGTCTGCCTGCCTGTCTGCTAATGACAATATTCAATACACAGCTGCTATCCCTGACCACATGCAATTTGAACTTAACACCAATCAGGCTATACACCATAAACAAAATGCATTGATTTATGGCCCGAGTTCGGTCTCTGTCACATTATGTAATTACACAGACAGGCAGGTCTGATACTTGAACACATGACATGTTATGATGTCTGTTGATTGCAAAATGTTACACACAAAAAATGAGCATGTATTTACAAAACCCAATATCTCTATATATACACAAAGAGCCATGAAGGTGGCATCTGCTAATGAACCAGCCGTTACACTTGAGTGCACACCCACCCGCTCTGACTGGGTTCGGTATCCCGGCTGCTTCGTTTCGAGGGAGGTAAACCCAAGTACAAAATATTGCACTTTCGATTTGCGATTATACGCTTATAATTTTGTTTATTTGTTTTTTCATAATCAGCAATGCATATTATATGTCATGAAGAAGTGATAATTGTGTTTTAATTATGTTTGATTTTTTGGTTGCATGTGACCTTTAATATGTTAAACCAGGAATGGCAAACTTCCAGATGTGATTCCTACCATCAGTTTAAGTCGTTGTTTTCACCAGAGTGTTAGTTAGCTAACTTACGCTACATGTTGTCGTTATACGTTTTATACTAGACCCTATTGATTCAATTATTAAATGAAAAAAAATATGTATTTATTGAAAACAACAGATATTATGTCCATTCTGTAACATTATCCAAGATGATGTTATTTGATGTGTATTTGTATCTCATATCAATGTTAAAATACTCTCTTCCTTCTGGTCCCGCAAGGAACCTTGAAAACAATAAAGAGCCACCATATTATTCGCCATAACTTGTTGTTAACTCAGAGATTATTGCCCTAAATTTGTGCCTATATGTTTATGAGACCATAAAAACTCCTCTGTTTATGGAAATATGACCTTTTATGCCGATACATTGAATTGATACACTATGAGTATTTATATATAGCCAGTATGTGTGAGACACCAGTGACACCATGGGGGCGTGGTGGGCGTGGTGGGCGAGCTGGCTTAGGCGCCAGGCTAGAGATCTAGCGAGGTTGAGGTGCCGGGATCGAGCCCACCTGTGACCGGGTGTAAAAAGCTTGGAGTCAAGTTTGTGTGCAGACTCTTTCAGTGTTGTCACAACCCCTAGTGTACAGTACACAACCCTGTGCACTTGAAAGAACCCACGAATCCGTTGGAAAATGACCAGATGGTGGCCACATGAATATGTGCAAACACCTAGTTTCGGGTACAGTAACGTGCAGTAAAACTTGGACAAAGTACTGTGTCTATGTGTCCCAGTCCACCCAGCTGTGAATGGGTACCTCGTAGGGATGGGAATGCCACAATAACTCGATGCGCCCAGTGGCTGCAAGAGTTGTATGATTCCCAGGGAGTTGAGATTGACAATACGATGTGCCGTTGAGATTGACATCCAGTGAACCAGGGAAAAACAAAGCGCCTTTGAGGAACTGAGCTGGATATCGGCGCTATACAAGTGTGTGTGTGTGTGTGTGTGTGTGTGTGTGTGTGTGTGTGTGTGTGTGTGTGTGTGTGTGTGTGTGTGTGTGTGTGTGTGTGTGTGTGTGTGTGTGTGTGTGTGTGTGTGTGTGTGTGTGTGTGTGTGTGTGTGTGTGTGTGTGTGTGTGTGTGTGTGTGTGTTACACGATCACAGGATGTTGCATGTGGAGTGATGAATTGGTAAACAAACAATTGTGGTGGTCGTCAACATGTGACACACAATACTAAAATTTACTTTCCGGACCCAGAAGCATTTCTGTGGTATGTCTTTCATTAGAAGTAAATATCGTCCGGTATGCGATGTTTCCGGATATCTTGGGTCTGGATAAGCGGGGTTCTATTATATTGCGTTCACGCCGAAAGCCTTTCACAACAAAGATCTTTGCCGGGTTGGATAAGGGTTCGAATCCCGACCAGGTGCTGTGCGTGACTCCACAGAGTCCCTTATGGCAGGCCAGGTGAACAAGCCACCCAAGGGACATTTCAAGCATACTTCAAACTACAGACTAAACACCTGTTTCAATGGCCATAACTCTGGGAGTGAGTATGGTTTTACACCACGTTTTGCAATATTCTAGCAAAGTCCAGGTGACACCAGACATGGGCTTCACTCCTTCTACCCACGTGGGATATCGAACCTGGGTCTTCGGCTTGACAAGCTGACGCGTTAACCACTAGGCTACCTCAATCTCTGGGACAGGCCTCACTGGCGGAAGCGACAATGCTGATAACAGCTGCAGTCCACACTTTGGATTGACAACGATACAAGATAAAGCTTCAAATTACTTTATGGTCCAAATGGTATTTTTCATGGTGCAATGTAACAGTATAAAACAGGATATGGCAAGGTTAGCTAAAATGATTATGAGTATTTCCACAGTCTTGTTGAGATTATGTGAGCCCCCGTCTGTGACAGATTCTGGGGCAGACGTGTCATGGTGGTCACTGGCTACTTGGACAAGACATAGCCCAGCACCATCGCCAAGGACCCCAGAAGGACGGAGATGCCTTGGGTGGCGGCGGAGTTCTCGGGCTCTGAAATACACAAGGTGTTGAATATACCACACAGTATACATATACCACACCATACGTATACTCGCATTTAAATATTTAGACACACAAACGTACATACACACACGGAGACATCCATACATCCATCCATACATACATACATACATACAAACATACATACATACATACATACATACATACATACATACATACATACACATACATACATACATACATACATACATACACATACAAACATACATACATACATACAAACATACATGCATGCATACATACATACAAACATCCATACGTACATACATACATACATACATACATACATACATACATACATACATACATACATACATACATACATACATACAAACATACGTACATACATACATACATACATACATACGTACATACATACGTACATACGTACATACATACATACATACATACATACATACATACATACATACGTACATACGTACATACATACATACATACATACATACATACATACATACATACATACATACATACATACATACATACATACATACATACATACATACATACATACATACATACATACATACATACATACATACATACATACGTAACCTAGAGAAAGAAAATATAAAAGCAACCAAACTACCCCCGAATTTACCGCATTTACGCTGCTTCCATCACTTCTAGCAAAATTCAAAATTCATACGAAACATAAATATGCAACCCTAATGTGCCCCCTCAGTCTGTCATTTCTTTCGGTCATCATCCCCCCTCTTCCGATCTGAAATAATACTGTGCCAAATACGCGCCATCGGAAAGCGCAGGTAAAATCTCCAATCATCAACATAGCTTTCATTCACCTGAGGAAGAGCAGCCGCATACACCGAAGCTTTGTAAATACCTTGTTATAAACAACTTGACATCAATAAAATATCTTCCTTTTTGTGTTCGATTCATTGTCCAGTTAAAATTTCCACATGAGAAACTCCGAAGCTGGCTATAAATAATCCACGGGTGTATAAGCAATACCCTTGCGTTCATTCAAGTATATTCTCGCGATCCCCGCGGATTGAGACAATGAAAAACATTCAAACTGACGTATATAACTCCCCGAATTCATTAAAATACATGAAGTGGGACAGAAACCCACTGTGCAATTGTTTCTGGTGACGTGGACACCTTGTGGAGTAATTCTAGGAAAGGATCCCCGACTTGCCAAATATTAAACCACCGTTCCCATGACTAGCCCTACCCACAAACGCACTGCTGGGTAGTGTTCCGATGGTTAAACCACCGTTCCCATGACTAGCCCTACCCACAAACGCACTGCTGGGTAGTGTTCCGATGGTGTTCAGAACAAACCTACACGTCTTCAACAGAGGAACGTATGTTCCGGTGTAGAGTCAACGGTACAGATCATATTGTATAAAATCATCTTTCATAAACACTATGACGGAATGTCCAGTAATGCCACCTATGATTTGTATCAGTTGTTAACTAGGTGTTTCACGCTCGTTGTTATGTGCACTGACAGTACTTGACTTGGGAGAGTGAATGATGCGTAAGGTTATTACCACACTCCACGACATAACGCCACGAGGGCCACCACGACACACACTCCCTTTTACCACACTCCACGGCATAACGCGACGAGGTCCACCACGACATACACTCCCTACTTTCCCCTTGTATACTATATAGATGTCATATATGAATTTCCATAAAATATTTTTGAATGCTCAGTCAAAATGGAGATATCCCCTAGGCAATGAGTTTAATTAAACAATGATGGAATATTTCAATTACCTGAGGCCGCTGCGACGGGACTGAACCCAATGCTGATCACAGCAAATGCTGAAAAAGAGACAGATTTTAAAATATAATAATCGAAATAGTGTAATTTCTTTTATATTTATTTGCAGGACAAGCAACCTCGGAATCACCCCCACATCTCCCATGTGGGCTCAGAGTTTCAAACAACATAACGCTTTGTCATACTGAAGACGACAGTTGAGAAACTTTTCAGATACTAAACTGACATTATCATTACGTTTTAAACAATCCGATCTTAGAAACAGATCAGAAATAATGCGAACTTGATAACCACTGCACATTTGATCATGCACAATGCATATCAAATAATGCATGCATAATGCACAGTTGAAAGCCGATGTATAATGCGCAATTGATAACGCATGCACATAGTACAGCGGACGGCGCAGAACTCGTCAACTTCAGGCTTAATTACAACACATTCATTGACACCTTGCTATAGGTCTTGTCTATATACACACAGAGGAACTAAATACTCTTGAAACATTATACTTATTCTAGTCAATACATCGTCACAAGTAGGATAGAGAAAATGTATAACGAGAATATTTCAAACAATTTGACACAATGCACAATCCGCAATAATATACAGCTCTATCGTGGGTCAGAGTATTTCAAGCATATAACATTCGATGAAGAGAAATAACATGAGGCATTGAACCTTACCGACAAGGAGGCACATGGCGAGGAGGGATTCCATCTTTAAGATCGGGTTGTAACTTCAACGACAGTGACGAACGCTCACCTCACGCTCACATTTATACACCAGGAGTTGTTTGGTGTGTCACGTGATCAACGATGACAAGCAGTATTTTCTTAGCCCTTTCATCCGCTTGTTGTGTAGCGTGAAGCGTTGTGCGAGATCTATAGCTTTGCTACAGTTTTAGATGGCCAGTATCGATTAGTGGTTGGCATTCTTACAGTGTCTTTGTGTGAAAATATCGATCTTTAAAATATTGCATAGTCACCGTGACTTAGTAGAATACACAGTGAAATATTCATAAGTTGATTTTGTATGCACAGGGGTTTGTTGGGGGACTGTTGAATGAAAGCGACTGGACCCTTTCCACACTCATACGAAAACTACTTAATCAGACTTATATATCAATATCATGCAGACATCGTTTCAGGTGTTTGCAAAACGATCAGTTCAACATGCCCCAACACATGCAGCGGCAAGTCAATTGTTCACCTTAAAATACACGGGGACACATGTCTAACATGATATGTTTTCAAAGCTTAACGGAAGCATTAAATGTTGTACCCTTGCTGGAATAACCTGTGTACAAGAGTGGTATGCCAGCTCTTTGAAACAGAAAGAGTAATTGTTGCTCTACATGAAACTTATCGATGAGGGTGAGTGAGTGAGTTTACTTTTACGCCTGACTCAGCAATATTCCAGCTATATGGCGGCGGTCTGTAAATAATCGAGTCTGGACCAGACAATCCAGTGATCAAGAACATGAGCTTCGATCTACGCAATTGGGATACGATGACATGTGTCAACCAAGTCAGCGAGCCTGACCACCCGATTCCGTTAGTCGCCTCTTACGACAAGCATGGGTTGCTGAAGATCAATTCTAACCCGGATCTTCACGGGTGCATCGATGAGGGTAAATAAGTGAAAAGGATTTCGTTATTTCAATGTTATTTAACGCCGTCATATCTTTGATTCTATAGCCGATCCAGATGTTTATGCGTTATCACTGCCATTTAAAGGAAATTGTGGGTGGGTAGCTTAGAATTTCATGTGTTTGCCTATCTCGATAAAGGGGTAAGTTCGTTTCTCCATGACCAAACACATTGTAACACAGGATATAGCAATAACTGTAATAACAAGGCAACATGAACCTGTAGTCAATCCAGTTAATAAAAGCTATATCACATCAAAGAAAACAGAATATATTCAAGTCAGATATATCCTACATAATTCAAATAATCATTACGGTATTAAACGGGTGGTAAAACAAGATGTAATATGTTCTGTAGGAACAAGACCATTGGGGGAGAGACGCCATATTTTGTATGCCTTCCGGTTATCAGCCGGATTCAACTCTGACCAATGACTAGCCACTGGTTTGACCGCTCTGCAGAATTTACATTGTCATCATTTAGCTGTTTCCATTTCGTAAATATCTCACTTTCCCTAACACCTCTCTCATCATCTGGTTTCATCATCATATTTCCACCAGTGTTTGCCTCTTGCACTCAATGGATTCTGCATCATTGTTCTCTGACGCTGACGTTATTATACAGTACAACCAGAAATTATTGAGAATTTAAAGATTGTAAATTTTAATTTTTTTCACTCATTACTCACATATTAAATGTGAATATTATAATCAAGGTTTTGACCCGTGTTTGGGAACTTGATTATACCCTTAATAAGAAGAAGAGGAACGATTACAGTCAAGCAGTTTACTGTCAGTGGTGTTGTGTTACAGAATTGGATACAACTGATAAACAGAAATACATGGCATATGGATTGACAATAATATGAATACATGAAATATATACAAACAACTTCGATATGAAATGTCAATATTTGTATTACGTAAGGGGAAGCTAGGTAGATAGGGGATATAGCTGTAGGTAGAGCTAAGAACACGTTCATGTCTAGAGAGAGAGCATTCGACATGTAAGTGAAAATGAATACATATATGCTTGGTTTAATACCTCTAAACTATGATGCGTAATTCATTACATGATGATAGATATATACACACATATACATACAAAATAAGGAATATACATATCTTAAAACACACAACGTATCGTGCATGATCATTCATAACAGAAATAGTTAATACGTATAACCCATATACAAACAAGGGATAATTACGCATAACAGTGCACGTGTCTAAGTGGGTTTATATTAGAAGGTGAGCAAGCAATAAAATCATAAACTGTTTAGATTATTCCATACATATATAAGACAACAATATCAAATAACAAGGCGTAAATGTTTCTTACCTTAATAAGAAGAAGAGGAACGATTACAGTCAAGCAGTTTACTGTCAGTGGTGTTGTGTACTGACTAGTGAAGATGCTCGGCTTTTATAGTAATCGCCCTCCTATGTTTTGACTTTGAGTGATACCTTACTGAATGAATTGTACATTGTCTTGAATGTTAATCGTGACCGATGATACGTCGCTGCTGTATTGTTACGTAACTATATCCTGTACGGCGATGCAACTGCGGCCGCCATACAATAGACCGTCAGCGTGCGCGATGGCTTTGATGGATGTGTCCATCTTACGTCACTATAGCCTGCTATGTAGCTGTCAGTGTTCAATCTGCCACATACACATCTACTGTTAGATGTGCTTGTAGATATATTCTAATAGAAATGTTATGAATACTTCGATTCCATTTAGGTTTAGTTAATAATTATATCAGAGAACCTCAAATATTTATAGGCAATAATCGAAGTATAATGAGTGTATTTTACACTGGTATAATATTAGCAGAACATAACTCCAGATTCAAAGACAGGTGAACAGTTAGTATTTTGTCAAGTCACCATGAGCAGCAATGCAGGCTTCAATGTGGCGGGGCATACTACTGATCAAAGAAGTTAGAAAGTCGTGGTCCATGCTGTCCCAATATCGGACCACCTCTTCTTTCATGTCAGCAATATTTGTCAGATTTTTCTTATTGACACTTTCATTCATAGGTCCCCAAACATTTTCTATTGGATTTAGGTCAGGGCTATAGCTTGTCCAATCTAATAATGTCATATTTTTGGTCCGCAACCAGGCCTGTGAATGCTTTGAACGATGTTTTGGGTCGTTGTCCTGCTGGAAAATCCAAACATTTCCATAGAACACGTGAGCAGATGGAAGTAAATGTCCCTCGAGAATATCTGTGTACCGCTCACTGTTCATATTCCCTTCAAATACACAGAGGGGCGTTGCCCCTAACACAGATATGCCACCCCACACGTTAAATTTCGGACTGTACTTTGGGCGCTGATACAAAGGTTTTTCAGTTTGTTTGGTCCCGAATTTCAGTGTATTAGGAAACAGCAACACAGAACTTTCATCTGAGAAAATCACATTGTCCCAGTTAAAATTCTATGCTGTAAGCACCAGTTCAACCTTCGCTCCTTTTGTTCAGGTTTCATGATTCGGTGATGGAATTCCTCGACATTTCTGCCAACCCATTGCATGCAGCTCAGTTTTAATTGTCTCCTTACAGACAGCCACGGTTCCTCTATCAATCATATCCAGCCTTAAGTTTTCTAAACTCCTTCGTTTGTTTTTAGAAACAAGAATACCAAGTCGCCTCCTGTCACCGACAGTCAATTTTCTGGGCCTACCTGCGCCTCCCTGGTGCTCAATGCCATATCAATTTGCAATATTTTTCAAAACACGATAAACAGTGGACAAAGGGATGCCTGTTCTACTTGAAATCACTTTAGCTGATCTGATGTCCTTGTTATAATACCCTAAAATCAACTTCCTCTTCTCTAAATCATCCATACTGAGTATCACTGAAAATGTCGTCTGCTAGCAAGTAAACAAAGGGGGATAACTCTTCACAAACTAATGAAAAAGGATTAACGGATTTGTCTCTCTTGAATAAAACCAAGCACTTGATAGCTGGTCAAGGTTGTTTATACTAGAAATCGTATTAAACATATTCCTAAAATTCTCAATGATTTCTGGTCATACTATATTTCCGAGCTACAAAGAAGTAAGCCCAATTGCGTAGATCGGTCTCTTGCGCTACGCCTCGACAGTGACCCAGGCAATGACTACCTAATGGCAGCCATTGGCGACCTTCAGTACTGTGCGATACGCCATATATTTACTGCAGTAAAATTCGAGAACGGGTGGTTAGAATTTTTTCATAGCATTTTCATCGATACTGTGGGGAAGTATACGTCACCAGAACAACGCCCATCATTACCTTTAGTGTACGAAACGTTATTTAAGCAGTCCGAGACACGAAAGTCGTCGTTACATGGGCGAAATGTAAACAATGACACACACACCATTTTCAACACCGACATGTGCGTTGATATTTCGTGTCAGCTCGCTATTGTGACGAAATCGTACGCATAAAACATGGTTCTAAACAACCGCATTGATTACATAGCAGGAAAATATATATTTGTGATGATACCCTGCGTTTACCATTCCATATGGTTCCATATTAGTGCAGTAAGTGCATGGTATGTTTTAGAATGTGGCACCAATACGCTTTCATACCTTTCTCATTTTATCGGTTTTACGGAAACAGTGAGTATGGCTTTAACGCTTTTAGCAATATTCCAGCAATATCACTGCAGGGGACACCAGAAATGGGCTTCACATATTGTATCCATGTGGGGAATCGAACCCGGGTCTTCAGCGTTACGAGCCAAAGCTTTATTCTCTCTGTTTTTTCAGTTTATATACACTACTGATTAAATGTTCATTCCCTTTACACTGTTTGAGAATGCGGGTATGAGGCGGGTGGTCAACGGGTTGCACACGGCTCAACCACTGGGAATGTTACAAGGGGGCTGCCCGGGCAACTGTACCGCTGTTGGTCAGTTTGTCAGGAACAGGTCTCCGCACAAACACCCTCCTAGACTAGTAGAAAGGTTTCAAGAAAGAACATTCCGTAGCCTGAAGCAGAGCCAATTCAGTTAATTTATGATGAAGAAACTGCCCAACGTGATCACCGTGAGACGTTCATATTAAAACGTCATTTTGGACATTAAAAATTAATCGTGTAGGAGATGGAACAAAGACCATGGAACAAGTTGTTTTGAAACCGCCTTATTGATCCCGACGGAAAATCAA